TTTAAAACATCTTTAGAAAATGAGGTATCCACAGAGTTTGCATGTTTCATAGCTGTCTGGGTCTGAAATCCTCCATTGGTGCTTAGATCATCTCTAGACCCCTGTATTCAAAGTGTAGAAGAGGTTAATGGGAATCATGATATTTCAACATTGTAAACCCACATATGTCTTCTTCATTATGCTTTCAATTAGATGATATTTAATTTGATATTTTATATTCCAGCAAAAGTTTTCTGCTAAAGTAGGCAGTGAAAACAAATACAGTCAAAACCATACTCTTAGTCACAATTTGATTACTTATGTGATTTTTTTTTATGATGTAGAAACAATCTTTTAGACATGGACTAAGTGGCTGGATTGGTTATTGATATATTCATGGATTACAGATTATATGTCATTATTATCATGGATTATCTTATGTATATTACTATTACTAACAAATAGATTTTAAATATTTTATCGTGTGCCAGGCTCCGTGATAAATATTTTCTATTGCACAATTTAATCCTCATAGGGAGTGTGTGATGTAGGTATTTTATCCCACTTTATAAATAAGGAAATGGAGGCTTAAAGAGGTTGGATAACTTCTCTAAAGTCACCCAGATAATCACTGATACTGCTGGGATTTGAACAAAGTAAAAAGAAAAAATTCCTAAGGCATAGCTCCTATCTTCTGTATGGCAATACCTTCCACAGTTACTGGATTCAGCAGTGTGTTAATTTTTTCTGGGATTTGAACAGAGGCAACAGATCTCAAGTGGGTTGTTGTGTAGTTACTATGATGGCCCAGTAGAGGAGGGGTTATAAATAGGCTACTCTGGGGCTGTGATGGTAAATAAGGCTCTTGGCTATTCTGACACCAGAGGGGTATGAAGCTAATACAGACAGTGATGGAGCAAAGGTGTATAGTGAGACTGAGGAGGGAGCCATGAATGCAACAGAGGAAGCTGTAAAGACTGGAAAGACTTGGAAGGTGATGCAGAGAACAGAAGAAAATGAAAACAAAATGCTGAAGGATGCGCCAGGTGGAAGGCTAAAGTGACTGATCCAGAACAACGTTGATGTGAATACCTAGCAAAAAGTGTTGTTTAATTCCTAGTTTGCTCACAGATAAGGGAAAATGGTTCTCCAGGGCAAAAATATAAAAAAGACACATTGTTTACTAAAACAGAAATTCGAAATACTGTGCAAACTTACCTGATTAGATGTATTGACAGTAAAAGGATACAGGTCCTTCAGATAAATCCTCGGCATGTTGTCCAGAAGCATGCCGTACAGGGGCATGTACAAACTTGCAATCTGCGCCTGCTTTCTCTAGGTGAAAAGGGGCCGAGAGGAATGATTCACATAAAAATCAATAGGCTGGTTGGTTTGATATGCATTTAACGCAGTGAGCCATTAAGTGGTGCTTAGGGAAGGCAGGAAGGGAGATCACTTACTGGTTCTCGGTATCGATCATCAAAAGAATGCTTAGCCATTAGATTTTTGAGGACAGCTAAAGCTAAGTGCCTGATATCCTGGTCTTCCTGCAGGGCAAAGCCAACTTCTCGGAGCAGAATTCCAATTAAGAAGTGTTTGCGGCAAAATTCATTGGTGACCGAATATTCAGGCATATCTTTGTGAGGAAAGAAAAGAAATCATGTTATCGAAAATAAAGTAATTCCTTTGTAATTGAGACAGAGATATCAAGCAACTGCTATCAACACCTTCCAGCACTGTGAGGAATTCAGTAATCCAGTCTTGCTACAGAGATGAGATGTGTTGTATCCTCAGGGGGCTCTCAGTAAGATAGGGGAGTATTCTGTATATATAAACACAAATACAAATACAAACTAACATACGATGCCAGCTGTTAAATTTCACAAAAATAGCATGTTTACGGGATGACAGGAGTTGAGAGGAGAAAAACGCATTATGTGCCTGGCAGAATCAGGAAATGTTATGGGTAGGAATATGTCGAGATGAGCCTTTGAGGATGCTTAAGGTTTGGACGTGCAGATATCTGTGGGAGCAGATGGAGGCAATGGAGGGAGGACAGGAGGTTGAGAGAAGAAGGAATAGGGTTTTCGATGGCACAGAGTTTTAAAAGCACAGGTGTGAGGGGAGCACAGGTGTGTCGGGGTCAGTAAACACTGTGGCCAAGAGAGATGAGAATTGAGGCTTAAGTGATAGTTTGGGGACAGATGATGGAGAAACGTAAGCACAGATGCCTTTAGGTCCCTCTGCCATTTGTATTTAATTCTGTAATAAATGTTAAGACACTAACAGCTTTGAGATCAGTGGCTTGATTACACTTGTGCTTTATTGACTTATTAATATTGTGTAAGAATGTGCATGAATTAGACTCTAGGGAGATGTGGGGTGAGGGATACAACGCAGGAGACTGGAGCAACGAGGAAGGGAGGGGACAAGTGATGAGACGGTGTCTGGGCTGGGGTAGCAGCAGCAGGTGAGCAGTACAGGTAAAATCACCAGGACGAGCTGGCTGAAGGATTGAGGGAGCAAGGAGAGAGGGCAGCCAAGTATTGTGAGCCGGAATTATGGAGAAAAGAATTGTAAAATTCCCAGTAAGAGTGGATTTATTCAAATTGTCCAATGTGCTTTAAGAACGTAAATATTAACTGTAGTACTAGCACCTACAAGAAAACATAGGGGAAAAGCTGCTTGACGTTGGTATTGGCAATGATTTTATAAATATGATGACCTCAAAAGCATAGGCAGCA